ATGACTGATTGATAACTTTATTTATCCACAGAAAAGAACTCCTTCAACTTGATTGATAAGTAAAATATCTAATTCTGTTTGACTATTCTATCAAATAAAGCAAGATAAATTCTGTCATGCCTGAGGCTGCTTTGCACATCAACATGGATGTTGCTACTAGCCTTTGGTGATTTGATGATTAAGAGTGTGTCCACGAAAGCACCAGGCAGTCTTGCTACGTGCCATCTCACTGATTCCAATGAAACTTTGCCAGTTTCAAGGGTCTACTCCAAAACTCAAAAAGACAAACTGGTTTCTGTTTTGTTTTTTTTCCGGGGGTGAAATGGACCACCCCCCCTTCCCGCATTTGTCTCCCACGAAACGCGTGGGAGATAAATAAAATTTTTTACCTTCTCAGTTTGTTTCGTCAAAAACGCTTTTAATGTGAAGTCACGTCGACCTCGACAGAAAAATTAGGCTCACCCTGTCAGAATCAATAGTTTGATAACGTAAATATCAAATAAGGTATATCATTGCGCTTTGATCACAGTAATGAAAAAATGTGCGTTTCCTCACACTCGCCTCATTTATTCTTTGGAAAATTATTTTACTGGAGGGCAATGTCACTTAGCTTGGCGCGTCTTGACTCTGACTAACGAAAATTGCCAACGATGCGGCGAGGTGAGCCCCATGAAATTATTGTCAAATGTTTTAAAAACTTTTTCTACCACAACAGAAACAAAAGCTAGTCGCTTACAAAATTTCAAAATGACTTCTAAATTTTGCTAAATCTTCTCGTACAGGGCCAACGCACCTTGAATGGGTCTTTTATTTCATGTTTTACTTCTATGTAAAGATTAGTCTCTATAGCACCCAACTGACTCAACATCGCGAAGTCGGTTAATCAGGACTCTGAGAACTGTCTTCCGTATTGACCGTACACGATACGAAGGGGTCGGTGGTTTGAAACATAGCTCACGGAAAGGTTTCCAAACAAACGCGGCAAGAATTCATCTCTTTAATTTCCTTTTTGAAGCAGAGCGAAGTGGAGGAGGGAGGGGGGTGGGACGTGTAGGTTAGGGTAGGAATGAGAATTCCTCATGCGCACATGCGTGGACCGCATGCAGACACTCCTACCACTTGCATCATTTATCCCACCACCTTGCCGCCTTAACAATGAACATCAGTACTATCTGTTTTACTCTGTAACCTGGTTAAAACAAACGCTCACGATATTTTCTAAGATTTATCTCAAGCTGTCTTTTATTTTAGCGTCTTTGAAATTACTACATAATCCCTTAAGAAACTTTGCCAAAAAATGTATTAAGTGTGCTAAAAAACAAGAATATTTTGATTCCCTAAACAACATTTTGACGATAACCTGACTTAAAAACAATTAAATCACTATGCAAACATACTTTAACTCAAACATTACAATGCCTAAGTGACTTGTTGAACCAGTTTCAAAATATTGCTGCCGTCATTTTTCCACTTGATACTAATTAAGTTCTTGACCTTGAAACCTTTTTCCACGGTTCTATTTGGAAATCCATTAATTTTTGTCCAATTTTTTTAAGCACTCAGAAGTAGTACTGGAACTGACCAAAAGAAAAGCTTTTCCTAAAGATTTTACATAAAAAAATTTAGGATTCTGTTAACGAAACCTGTAACAAAAGGCTTTGTGAGAAAACCCTGTAAGACTTAACTGGCTCGTTTTTGATGCTTAAACTATTGTTTTAACTTTCCTGATTTCACTTTACTTAAGAGCCCTAAGTCGATAATGTTTCATGCTAATTATAGCGGCCGGATAAGATAATTTTTGTGCCGAAAAAATATTCTCGGATACGTAAACAATACCTCCTTCTGAGAAGATCGGAAAAGAGAATGTAAAAAATTGAAATTAATATCCTTAATTTGAGGTTGCCCTTTCCTTAATTACACAATGAAATAACGGATAGAGTATTTTCTCTACTTATTCTATTTGGTTATCCGTCTAAAAGTCTCTAAGGTCTGTTTCCTTCGAGCTATTCTCATCTTCTTTCCTGTAACAAACGTAAAAAAAAACAATTATAAATAACTTAATCAACATTTCTTAAATAAAGCAAATACAGTTCTACCAGGCGTAATACGTAGGCAAATGTACACTTGCATCTGATTGGAAGAGAGGCCCTTTCGAGATTCTATATTTTACATCCAACTGGAAGAATAAATTGTTACTCTTTGAAAGAAACAAAAAAAGGGTATAAAACCAATTTGATATTCAAGGTGACAAAGGATCACCGCCGACAGTCAGCGACCAGTAAGTCAAAGCCACCTCCGCATCTAATTTTAACTTTAATTTATGAAATACCTGTCCTCACCGAGTCTTACCTCTGCTTGCCAAACTCGAGCCTCACATCATCTCCAATCAGCGTAAACGAAGCCCACTCAGACACTTTGGTAAAGCCGTTTTTTCTCATCCACTTCATGGCCTGATGAAGGGATTCACCGGCACTTTCTCCTTCAACAAGGTGTTTGTAGAACCGACTCATCAGCTGCTCTGTTGCTGAGTCTGAAATGATCCACAGCGCAACCAACACAGAGCGAGCACCGGATCCTAAGAACGCACAGGCAATTCCAATAACTCCCTCGGCTCTTATCTCTCCACTTCCACTGTGAGAGCAGCTAAGCACCACCAGTTTAGCTCTGATTTTTACTCGTGAGACATCAGCCATCGTCAACATGTAAGCTTCCTGTGGTAGGATAGCGTTTCGACTGTTAGGAGCAGGAATGGGAGAGAGGGCAATTTCTCCCCTCTCGGCGTTACAATGGGCAGCAAAATGTATCAGGCTCACTGAACTTATCCGCTCAAGCACCGCCTGCTTCGTTGCTTTCTCGTCTACCAGAGGCGGAACACCCAGCAATCGTCCGACCATCTCCGCTTCCTTTCTTGCACCTGGCAATGGCAGCAGCCGATCAACCTTGGGATTGCCTATTACCGAGGCACCAGTGTTGCTGTGATAATCCTCTGGACTATCTTGAATGATCTTGAGTGTTGTCAAAGAAGGAATGACACGGATCCTATGAGTCTCCGACAGGTATTCGGTCCCCTCCTTTTCATGGAGAGCAGCAAACGGAACTTGGTACAAACAGCGGTCAGGGACGATTATGACTTCAGGCTCCTCAAGCAAATCATCAACGGGGGCCATGAAACATTTTGTAACACAAAGATAGACTTGAAATGACTCCTTCGTTCTCGTCCTCGTGTTCCTCCACGAGTCGCAATCTTGCTGAGCTCTTTTGCCCGGGGGAGAGAGGTTGCAAACAATCTGCCAAAAATTTACTTAAAGGCAAATCTTTGGGCAACCCAGCCTCAACTAGATTCCCTTCCACAGATATTCTTTTAAAGTGAAGGACTCCACATGTTTTCAAGATCCACAAATGCAAATCATTTTGAAAATAAGAAATGTACAGACA